TTTAACTAATCTTTTTTTCTTTTTAAACGAACAGAACACGAAAAATAGGTACCTTAAAATTTTGATGCATGTTAAAGTTTTATATGTTCTAGTGGACCGATTTTGATGATTTTTTAAGCAATTTGTAGCTAAATTATTGACTTTTAGTATCTCATTCTAAATAAAAAATGAAAGTTCCCATCTGTCAATTCTACCATGGAAAACAAAATATTGATATTTTGGTGAAAGTTTGAAACATCCTGTAAAATGTGTTAACAAAGCATGGAATTTAGGAATAATTTTATCATCTAGGTGCATCTTTTCTGGATAGTTTGTTTTTTGATTCATCTCAATAGCTTTATTTTTGATGGAGATATTTGCTTTTGAAGAAGACACTAACATGTTTTAGTATTGTTTTCATTAAAACCATGCCTTTGCTTTTAGTCCTAATCGACAGACCTATGAGACATGATACAAATAAAAGAAGATATGATACCGCGCATGTCAGAGCGGGAGTGTGACATCAGCTTGTGATAGATTCCGCCATATTGGGCTATACTTCGTGTGTTTGCATAGCGAGAGATTGTTTAAAATAATAGTTTTTAAAACTTTTAAACTGTTAATTTTCGTGAAAAATGAGGTGTGCGGTATATGGTTGTGCTGTAGACAATATGTGCAAGGGTTTTGTACCCTGTACTAGATTCTTTAGCTTTCCAAAAGACAAGGACTTACAAGGTGTTTGGAAACAATTGTGTAAACGCAAGGACAAATTTAATATTAAGTTCGCTCGTGTTTGCGATAAGCATTTTACTGAATCCGATTATGAACGGAATTTAAAACACGAATTGCTGGGATACACACCGACAAAATATCGTTCCTTGAAAAAAGGGGCTGTTCCATCAAAACATTTACCTCTGACCAAAACTGAAAAAACTGTCAGATATGAGTTAATGAGTTCTTCAATTTTATGTTCTGATAAAACATTATTTTTTAGATCAAGAATGTATTTTCGCATCAGACAATTAAATACTTATATAATTCTACTCTAATCTTTAAGAAACGAAAAATGTTAAAAATAGTTAAGTAAACATTTCATTTAACTGGTCTGAGTGACAGGGTGAGTCTACATATTTTAATTTTTGACTCACCTGCAGTGTTAATAATTATTATAAGTAATTAATAGCGTCTATGCATTACTTATATAATTATTATTAATAAATTATTAATAGTAATTATATAAGTAATGCATAGCGTCTAGAAGACTCCCACACTAGTTTGTCATATTTTGCGATTTTTGCATACTCGTATACATAGTTGCCCTTACACCCTGTATATATTATTATTCTTCACATTGATAATAATTATTGACTGAGGTATATATTAAAATGATAATAATATAATAATATATCCATACATAAATATTTTAATAAAGAATTCTACATATTTTCGTATTTTTTTCTAAGATATCATTCTTTTTTTAAATAGGAAATGGGTTCCAGCCTAACTAAAACTATTTCAAACAAGTAATAAAACAGTTTACTTCAAAAATGTTGATCAAGCTTTGACGTTTTCCAATGTTTAAAGCGTAGTTCCCGCCATACCCATTTGAAAATCTATCACAAGGTGACGTCATGCGAGAATACCGACGAAATTTTGACGCTTCAATATCATATCTTCTTTTACTTGTATCATGCCTATGAAATAGTGTTTACGCTTTATACAGGGTGGTCCGAACTGTATTCCGGAAACTTGGACAGCATATTCTGCAGATAAAAATAAGTAAAAAAGTTCGTATAAATGTATGTCCTTCAATGCTTAGTTTCGGAGATACAGGGTGTAGAAGTTTCATTTTTATTTCGATTTTTTCCAAATAATTTCTGAAGTAACGTCAATATTTGAATGAAAATTGGTGTCTGGGAATTAAACTTCTACACCCTGGATATCCGAAACGAAGCATTTTAGGACATACATTTATATAAACTTTTTTACTTATTTTTATCAGTACAATTTTCGAAGTGTCCGGAATACAATTCGGACCACCCTATATAATGTCACTCTCGTTGAAAAATATTATAAGTATATAAAATCGAAAAAATGTTAGCGTCTTCTTCAAAAGCAAATATCTCCAACAAAAATAAAGCTATTGAGATGAACCGAAAAACAAACTATCCAGAAAAGATGAACCTAGAGGATAAAATTATTCTTAAAATTCCTTGCTTCGTTAACATATTCTATAGAGTGTTTCAAACTTTCACTAAAATATCAATATTTTTTTTCCCTGACAGATGGAAATTTTCATTTTTACTTTAGTAAGAGTTACTAAAAAGTTAAATAATTTAGCTACAAACTGTTTAAAAAATCATCAAAATCGGCCCACTAGAACAAAATATATTAAAATTTAAAATACATAAACAATTTAAGGTGTCAGTTTTCCGTGCCGGTGAGTTATTTGTTCCTTGTGTGTTTTTTTTGCTTTTGACGACATTAAGCATTTTTTGTCGGTTAAATAATTTCACTTTTTTTAGTAAAATATCATTGACAAATTGGCCTCCGCTGGATCAACACAGTAGTGTAAAAAAAATAATTTTTGTATTCTGTCAATTTTTTCCAAATGGCGGAAAACCCGGAAGTCAACTTAATGTGATTTAAATTAGTAGTGGGAACTATCCAATGAATACTATCGAAACATTCGATAGTTGCAATTCATTCGAATAATTCGATAGTTAGTAAGAAAACATTCGTTGAAAACTATTCGAATAAAAATTATCGAATAGATCCGTCATCTGCCTTGAAATATTGTATTCTAGTAATTCGGCAGCAAAAACCATTCATTTATAAAATTCATTCATTTATGAAATTCATTCATTCGTCAGGATCGATTATAATAAAATATTAACTGAATTTTAGTTGTCGCCCGGCGACGTAGGTTTCTTTCCGAGAAACCCGACAGCGGTCGTTGGCAATGCTATGAAAAGAAGCCGGCATCTTTGATTTTTACGGAGTCAGATATAGATAGGACACATTATTTTTTTATTGAGGTGCTAGTATTTACACAGAAAATACATTATGAAAGGCGCTGTTGCCATATTTTGGTATTAGTTGATATTAGCAAAGAATATTATTGTTTGGCTTTAGTTAATTAGGGAATATAAAGACATACTATCTATTCTGCATTTTTTTTATTAATATTCTGTTGTTACACTGCAATAATACTTGTTATTTTGGATGTAGGAAAATTATTTTTAATGTTTTTTAGCAAAGACTGGTTTAATAAATAATAATAACAATAATAATTTGTTATACCTATTAACAACAAAATTTAAAATCATTTAATATAAATATTTTCTTTTAAGTAGTAGCAAAATATAAACAACAAATTAGATGTCAAAATTATTTATATTAGATCCTATTTAAAAATAATATAGTCTCTAAATTTTTTGGCAACGGTGGTTTATTAAATAATAATAATTACAGAACTAATTTGTTATATTAACAACAAATTTTAAAATCATGAAATATAAACATTTATTAATTTTCTAAGCATGCAGTGTAATGTAAGGAAAATATAAATAAAAAATTAGAAATCAAAATTATTTATATTAGGTGCTTTATATTACTATTTAAAAATTATATTTACTTTTACTGGCATTTACTTTAAAAAATAAATGAAATATTTTTTCTTCGCAAAAAACTACATGTAAAAGAATTAGCATAAACAAAATATAAACATTGTTAACTTTTTTTTTTAAATTGGCACGTGTAAAACTTTCATTTTAATTTTCTCACCCCATAGTTTGAGTTCGATAACCATTTACTTAAATATGATTATACAACCGCATTACTTAAATATGATTATTAAGTTCAACTAATTCATATTATTAAAACATCTAAAATACAAATATGTATTTTTAAAATTAATTGTAAGTTCATCTCATCTCTCTTAAAAATTGCTACTTCTCAAAATTTCCCATTAAAAAATAGACCATATACCATATAAAATTAAATAATTGAAAGATCGGACTACGGAAAACCACACAAATTTTTGGAAAAATTTTGACCACCTGCACATGCACACAATCGTCAATAAATAAAATTAAAAAATAACTACTATTTTAGTATTTTAACTATTTTAATAAACGCAAAAATAGCACAGTATTTATACGGCGAAGTTATAAAAATTTGGAAGAACTAATAATGCACTGACGCATACAAAAATCAAACGAATACTAAATTTCATTTATCAAAAGCATTCGATAGTCGTGGCTCAACGATAACCATTTAGTCGCAGGGCGAGGTTGTCACATATGCTTTAGTATACAAATGAATGAATGATTTTATTCGAATAAAACCATTCGATAGTTGAAATCATTCATTCATTAACCATTCGATAGTCTAATTCATTCGATAGTTCCCATCGCTAATTTAAACCAGTTCACCAGTATAACTATTACCGAGATATTTTACACTATTTCATTAATAAATGAATATGTGAATCAATATTTAAAAAAAGTGTACACATTTTTCTATACATAGTGAGTCTTAAATAAGTGCAAATATTTCCAGGGTTGCTAGATCTCCATAAAAGAAACATATTTTCTCTTTACCATTTAAAAAATAAGTCCAATATAACCGATTGTTTTACTTGGACTACTACCACTGGATCTTTTCTGGGTTTTCTTTATTTCTTGTAAATTTAATTTACTGCCTATGTTGCCATATTATCAAGAAATTATGTTTTTTTTTAACTAAAAAAGACCCAAAAAAAAATATAAAAAAATTCGCCAAAAAACCTCATAATCGTGTTTCTAGGGTGGAAATATACAAACCCTAAAAATATTTGCACTTATTTAAGGCTCGCCCTGTATTATAGCCTTGCTCCTTTTGCTCGAATAATTGATTTGCTACTTAACGCAAACCGCACCGTATCCGGGCATCAATGATTAACGCGCCGATAACCTAATGCATCATTCATCGAGACACCACCGCAGCCCTTTAACTAACCGAAGGTATTGTTGTTTCAGCCGCGACGTTACAACAGCCACTACGTCCGGTCCACTTCCTGGAGACTTAGACAGGTAAGTGAACGAGTCTTGTTTGCTTTGATTCTGCTTTCCATCTGTGTAGCTGGAGGCTGTTATATCCTCGGGTAATATTGTACCAACGTTGCTTCTGTAATGGATTCGATTTCCTTTACAAAGTGGTTCATTATTAATTATTTATTTGCCTGTAAATCATACCACGACTGTTTTTTTTTCAAAAAAATTGTCTTTTTTTAAGAGGATACTAATTCTGACTTAAATGACATAAATAATAGGTCTTGCAAGATGAAAAACTTCTTTATCATTATAGATATTCTAAGAGCTAGCAACGTTTTCGAGAAAGTATTTTAAGAAAGCTAACTCTTTAATATATTGTTGCGGACCCGTGTGGACTCGACCTAACCTAACTATATGTCCCGCCCTCAGATGACCTTAACATCGCATTAAAGAATAGAAACCGTAATGATTCATTCGTTCGAGAAGAATCGAGTCCCACTGGAATGGACTAGTACATACGAGAACATTCGAAAACCTTCTATACGCACCTAACGATCTATGGACTATTCTAGAGTTCTTTACCTGTCGGTATAAAAGCCGGCGGCTGTGGCCTACAGGGGGCAGTTATAAATATAACAGTGCAGTTGACGCGCTAAAATTCAAAATAAATTCTTAGTTATAAATCGTTTGTAAATAGTTCTATAAGTCTTTTATCGTTATTGTTCTTATTAATTAGTGTTAAATAAATAATGTTTAAATAAATTGTGACTTTCTATCCACACGGAACCGACGAAAAATTGGTGTCAGGTGTGGGGTGTGTGATAGACTAGAAAAATAAAAAGACTGAAAATGGCTTCGAAAAAATTGTTGAAGGACTTGAAAGTGTCGGAATTAAAATGCACACTGGAAGAGAGAGAATGTGAGACAGATGGGAAAAAAAGCATTTTACAAGCAAGACTAAGATATGTTCTGATCGAGGAAGGTGAGGATCCTGACACATTTTGTTTTGAGTTAGAAGGTGATCTTGACTCGTCATTGAAAAATTTGCAAGAAAATTTAAACGTAACAATTGGTGTCAGGTGTGGGGTACCAACCAGGGAAGTTGGTGTGGCTATATAACCCGCAGAGACGTCGTGGGTTATCTCCGAAGCTACAATCCTCGTGGGAAGGGCCATACGAAGTCATGGATAGGATTAATGACGTCGTATACCGTATCAGAAAATTGCCAAAAGGAAAACCGAGGGTAGTCCATTTCAACCGTTTGAGCCCCGGTATTTCAGTTTATAATCATCTGCTGATGATGCTAACATGGTTAGCGAAACGCGCGTCCAGTGTGTAAAAGTAAAAGTCATGGATAGGATTAATGACTCGTATACCGTATCAGAAAATTGCCAAAAGGAAAACCGAGGGTAGTCCATTTCAACCGTTTGAGCCCCTACCAAGGCGAAATAGAAGATCGTGCTGGGACCGTGAGAACCTGCAGCTTTGATCCTCCTGATTCGGAGATGTCCTTTGACGATTTCATGGCCCGATACAACAGCAGTGAGAAGGCTCGCTCTGGTGTAACCAAAGAAGATCAACGAGACCTCTTTTCCGTGCCTCCTGATTATTCGCTCGCTCATTGTGTGGCCCGAGATTTGCGGATGTCCAGAGGAATCGCTGCGACGTTAAATGAGAAGTTTGGGCGTGTCGGAGAACTACGCCGACAGGATCCAGAGGTTGGGAGCGTCTTGAGGCTAACCGACAATGAACATGGTCAAGCCAGGCACATTTTCTACCTAGTCACCAAGGAATGGTCCCCAAGTAAGCCGACTTATCTCAATCTATGGAAGACCCTGATTGAACTGAGAGAAGCCCTGCTAAACAACAACATTACACGATTTGCCATTCCGAAGCTGGCGTGTGGACTCGATGGTTTGAGTTGGCGTACAATCCGGAACATGATTGAAGTCTTGTTCAGATTTACGGAAATCGAGATCCTCGTTTGCTGCTACAACCCAAAGCTGAGATCGGGAGAGAAAACTGTAGACTGCTATTTCTACCAGACTTCTCAATGTACCAGGGGCCAGCTTTGCAAATACCTTCATTCACAGTGTACATCTCGGGACGAGCATGTACCTAAGAAGGGGGCAGTGTTGCGGACCCGTGTGGACTCGACCTAACCTAAAAGAATAGACACCGTAATGATTCATTCGTTCGAGAAGAATCGAGTCCCACTGGAATGGACTAGTACATACGAGAACATTCGAAAACCTTCTCTACGCACCTAACGATCTATGGACTATTCTAGAGTTCTTTACCTGTCGGTATAAAAGCCGGCGGCTGTGGCCTACAGGGGGCAGTTATAAATATACCAGTGCAGTTGACGCGCTAAAATTCAAAATAAATTCTTAGTTGTAAATCGTTTGTAAATAGTTCTATAAGTCTTTTATCGTATTGTTCTTGTTAATTAGTGTTAAATAAATAGTGTTTAAATAAATTGTGACTTTCTATCCACACGGAACCGACGAAAAACGTAACAATATCCTTTGCTATGCTTTCTGGAACAGCGAGCGAGTCGACTAGCTGCCGATGGACGTTGCGTTCACTACTGCGCATTGAAATAAGGTCCTATTTTTTTATTGATTCCGATAAATACTAGTATTGAATATAAATAGGACAAGTCTCCATAGCGCGGCGCGAAAACGTTCAGCCTACAAAGCGAGAAGTCCAGAGTTCAATACCGGCTCGGGGTAAACTTTTTTTAGTTTATTTTCGTTTATATTCTGATAGTAGAGTATTAAATAATTGTTTTTTTAATCGCCAAAATTATTTAATGCTTGGCTATTAGAATATAAAGGAAAATAAAATAAAAGAAGTTACCCCGAGCCGGTATTGAACTCTGGACTTCTCGCTTTATAGGCTGGCCGTTTTCGCGCTGCGCTATGGAGATTTGTTCGATTTAATAAATCGAACTAAATAAAAACATAGGAAGTTCTTTTAATACGCAGTAGTGAACGCTAGTATTGTGAACGTCTATCGGCAGCTAGACGGCCTGCCCATTGTTCCAGAGAGCATAGTAAAAGATATATATCAAAGAGCCAGCTTTCTTAAAATACTTGTTTTCCAGACGTTGCTAGCTCTCGTACTCTTAAGATTTTGAGAAAAATGCATTCTTCATAAAAGTTTTTTCTTGTTCTAAAATAGTTAATGCGGTTTAAAATTTTCCAAATTTTCATACCATTTTAGATAAAAATATATAAATATGAAAATATAGTTGATTCTTTTGAAATCCCAACAATTAAAACGCGTTTCTTTGGTAATATCATTTCGTTTTCATTCTTTGATTAGATGGTTAATATTAATTTTGATTAATGTCATATAATTGCTATTTTAAAATGATAGAGAAGCACAAAATGTATAATCACATTGAATTTAGCATTGAACTAAATATCTTTTTTTGCTTTTTAAACATAGTGAAACAGCAAAAAATATGACGTTTATCAAAATTAATAATAGCCATCTATCAAAGAATTAAAAACTTGCCATAGAACACGTTTTGTGTTCTGACTTTTAATATTTATACTCTCTTATATACTTTTCATATATATACTTTTCATATTATTTTTATTTTTCTCTAAAAGGGATTAACTATTCTAGAACAAGCAAAATCTTTTATAAAGAATGCATTTTTCTTAAAAGTGTGACCCCTTAAGTAAATCTAAAACAACTTCGAAATGTTACATCTAAAGGATAATGTCATATTGTTATAAATTTAACACGGCTGTATGGTACAATTTACGTTTACTGATTCAGTATCATTATTTTCAGCTTATTCAACCATTTCCAATTATAGTGTAGCCTCCCTCACATACTCTCTTTGTAGTTGGGCCCCCCTCTCTTGGATTGGTCCCATCTGAGGTTCGGTCTTCTTCTAGGTCTCTTAATTCCTCGTGGGTACTATGCTGTTATTTTTATGGTCCATCTGTTGTCCGATCTTCTTGCCAGGTGTCGTGCCCATTGCCATTTCAGAGATTTGTCTCTGTGGATGACATCTATTACCTTGGTCTTTTGTCACATCCGCTCTATTCTTTTACTGTCTTTCTTGGTTATTCCCAGCATATTTCGTTCCATTGTACAACCTGCAGTTTCCTTATGATGTCCGTTTTAAGTGTCCAGGTGAATAGGTCATGACTGGTAGTACTGATTGTATTTTATTATACAGGGTTGTTCACCACACAGTTGTTACGACACGGAGTATTGTAGCTAAACGATTAGATTTTTACAAATTGTAAGTTTTGGGTTCGTTGAAGGACTATTAGAGCTACAATTTAAAAATATTTTTACAAGATACAGAGTGTCCCAAATAAATAAAAAATATCAAAGTTGTATTTTTTTAAATGGAACACCCTCTGTATATTATTACATATTTAGTTTCTACTATTAAAATAAAGGTAAATTCGATTAAGGTTTATCACCCTTAAACCTTACAGTTTTTCAAATATATTCAATTTTGTGAAATTGCAGTAACAATTTTAAGGCATTATTTCTTCAAGTTTCAAAGTATCTAATACAAGTTTTAAATAAAAAAAAGTATCAAAGTTTTTAATACTAAATATTTATTGAAGTTTAATTATTGATCAGTTATTATGTTGCAATAATAAAAATAATACTACCTCATACAGAGTGTCTAAATATTTATTTTAAATACTTTCTAGCTTTAAACGGCAATAACTCGTTTAATTTAAATGGTAAACACCCGGTATGTTTTAGAAGAATCAGATGCACAATATAATTATCCATCAAATTGTATTAATCCATTTTTACCTATTCTTTCAAGTTTTCGTAGAAAATGCATTTTCTTATAAATTAGACCTCATTTATCAATATACCCATGGAATATTGACATTTTAGATTGTTTTTAAAGCAACAAATGTATAAAATGTACAGGTGCTAAAAACGATAATATTACCACCCTATTTGTATACAAAAATAAAACTATTTATATCTTTATAAAAGAGTATACCATTAATTAAATATACCACCATTATTTTCGCCCA